GCTTAAATGTTAATTATAAAATTTCGACAAAGGACCATTCTTAAAAATCAATTTCCTTATTTACAATTTTTCCGATACTCTGAAAAATTTACTTCTTTTTTAATTAATTCAGGGGGTGAAATGATATTTTGTTGTACGAGTATAATTTATACCAACATTTAAGTGCGTCGTTACAATGCTCGGCATCTCTTCTTTGTCAAGCGCTTTAAAAAACGCTTGAAAATAATCCGTGACGCAGAGGGCGTCTGGCTTTCGCGGCACGCTGAGAAAACAGAACCCCCTGGAAATTACGCGGCCGATACAGGTGTAGATACGGCCGAGCCGCTTCGGGTTGTCCGAAAAAAGCTGAGCCGTGCCACTTGAACACTTTAAATAGACTCGGATCCGTAGGGAGTTCGCGTTGGCGTTGTTTTTACACCCATAAATTGAATATAATATTCGTTTTTTCTTATTTAACGGTTTGATAACATGTCAATCACGCGGCGTGACTCAGGATTCTCTTCAACAGTTGAAATAATATCTGGATGGAAAAATGATTTTCTGATTCTGAACAGTCTGGTTTTAAAATTTTTACTGTTATAAGCTTCCTGTGGTAAATATTTACTAATAACAAAAGAAATGAGTTTTTATTGAATCTCAACGTTCACAAATTAATTCATAAAAACGTGTACTTACGGAAGAATTCACAGTTGTATAGAAAATATGTATTAGAACGAATTGTACTGATGAGGATTCAGTGATTTTATTAATTTTTAACGTGATTTTCAATTAAGATATTGAACAAACGATACATTAATGTTACGTGAGTTTGTTGAACACTAAGATAGCTGGAACAGTTGACATTTCCGTATAGCAAACTAGGTAAAGCTTTATCCGGAACAATGGACTACTATGTTGCTATGTTTAGCAAACAAAGGTAATTGGAGCAAACAAATAAGCACAATATTGTACGATCATGTTTACAACTTCCGTAGCCAATTGCGGATACTTATAACATCGTACTTCATATTGACTCCTTTTTCGAAATGTAATTTATTATTGTAAAACTTGGGCAATTTATGATAGTCACGAAACACAACGCAGTTTCTGCTGTATAAGAATTTCGAAAGCGATACACGGTAAAATTAAATTTATTAGCAATCTGTAAATCTTTATACAAATTTAAATTTCTAATAATATCATTGGAAAAGCTGAATTACATTGGAAAATATTTCTTTTTAAATATTATAACAACCACTGTTTTTTGGATATTTTATATATTTCTATATGCAACGTTATATTCTCGAATTTCTCGTAACGTAAACAAATTCGCAGTTTAATTATTGAGTTGTCGAAGCAACGAACATACAATTTTTTTTAAATTCTGAAAACATTGGAATTGCAAATAACAAATGTTTCATTCGTAATTAGTGAATGTTCGCGGGAACAAAGGTGAACGTGCAGCTGTGCAGTTAGCTGCAACCGGAAATTCATATTTTATTCGTTGGTTCGCGCGGTGTTTTTCCTTCGGATGGTCATTTAATGTGTCAGTGCGCCCTTGCCACGTCCGTCAAAAGCACGAGGGAAAAGCTACGACCCATTGTTAACGAAATATCGTCGTTTTTGCCACGTTTTCTGACGGGCTGATTTAATTACCTGAATATCTGCGCGTTTGATACGCGCGAGAATGAATTATCGGACAAAACTGTACTCGCATTTCAATGGTTAGCGAATATGGAAAGTTTCTCATGTATTTAAGAATGTCGATGAAATCTTTCTAATTTGATTAAGGCTCATTTTAGTCATATGTATTATGTATATCGTTCAAGTAATCTTTTTTCTTTGATAAACTGGTAATACATTGAACAGATTAAATTTTTATTATTATGCCATTTCTTTCTTATTTAAAAATGGTACAGGTTATTCCAGGAAAATAGGATATACTGTTGTATCTATTATTGAAGAAGAATAGATTATTACAATGTCAAATAGAAGAATTTTAGTAAATACATTATGGATATTTCATGTTACTTTTAATTAAGTAGTTATCAAATATAAACGAACGTTTCCATTGTGGTTATTCTAAAACTGTTTAATTAGTATTCAATCGTTTTCAAATTCATCAAGAAACATTCCTAGATCCAAGAATATTCAAAATGATTTTTAGTTATATACTCGAAACAAATTTTGTTAATTTCAAAGATAAAATTAAAATATTAAATAAGCATAAAATAATTAAATCAAACAAGCAATCAATTCATACATATTTTACATATTTATACCCTACTCGCTGATTTATTTATTCATTCGTACAAATTTGAAGTTTCTCTAGTAATCAGCAACACTACCAATTGCAAGCGGTGATGGGGTCAAAAATAAATTTCAGAAGCTTCGATGTCCAACCTATACCACTAAAAATCGAAAATTTCGAAACACAACCCCGAAGTCAGTAGATGAAATTCGCAAGTGATATAAAAGAACAATTAATTCATACATATTATACATATCTGTATTTTACTCATTTATTCATTTATTCATAGATATTTTAAGTTTCCCTATTAGTCGGTAACGCCAATTGCAGCCAGTGATAAAGGTGAAAAATAAAATCGAAACATCTCGATGTACAACCTATACCAGCAAAAATCGAAAATTTCGAAACAGAACCCGGGTAGATGGAATTCGCGAATAATATCAAACGATAAAACATCATCGGAATTCCTCCTTCTGTTTACCGCGGGCCGAGTGCGTGCAGTCTGTGATCACCGAACGAAAGAAAATTACGGCGAAAATGATGCCAGGGGTTTGCTTTGAACTCGATCCACCGTCGGAACGGATCGAGGCTCGACCGTGCTTTAATAAATCCCGGCGCAACGTCAACATTTCACCGGCACGTCGAAACTGTTTTGACTTTCGGAACACACGTTTCCGTGTGGACGTAACACCCGAGGAATCCGTATCGAGACGACATCTGGGGCCTCCTAGAGGTTCACCGGGACAACCGATGCGCACCGGACACGCCGGGGGAAGAATGGCTGCCAGAACAGAGCTTTTCTTCGCCCGGCGTGTAAACAAATTTCGAGAAAATCGCGGGCTTTCCGAGTTTCCTTGCCTCCTAGAATAATATTCTACCCGGTTTAAACGGTTCCATTATTACCAGCCCCTCTTTGTCGCCGTTTAACCCTTCCCCGTTCTCCTCGCCACGCGTCTCGCGGTACGGTTCTCGATTGTTTGCTTTCTCGCGGCTCTTCGTCGAAGTTGAAATAAGAAATAAACACGAGAATACGAGATGGAAATTTGACGGCGGGGACGAATGTAATCGTCGATAGAAAAATTTTAGAGGTACGAATTTATTACTGGAGAGTTTTTGGGTGAAGCATTCCTGGCGGATTAGATAATTTCTTGGGATTTTATTATTTCTTTGATCTTGTTGGTTTGTGGGTTTTGAGGTTGTCTAGGAATAGCTTTGGCATGGAGGAACTTACAAGTTTTTGTTCGGTGGCCTCATATTTTGAATGTATGGCATACATAACGCACCTGATTGGAATTGTAGAATGCTATTTTGAGAGGTTCGTTCAACTTTGGGAACTTTTATTTTTGTTAAAACGTAACGATGTCCTGTTCTGTTTCAAAAATTTCCCATCAGATCTAGCAATTGGAAAATTTCAATAGTGAAATTAAATTTGAATCGCGGAATGTGGAATATGGAATTTGAAACATGAAAATTTAAATATGGAATAGGAAATATGAATTTTCAGATATGATATCCGAAATTTAAAAATTTCAAATTTCAAATGAAACTTCAAAGGTAAATATAATGTATTATATCCAATACTTAGATGTAATATATCAAATATTTAGGTATATTCCTGTTCAAGGGCAAATCCGCGCAAACTTACCATCCCGCAAATCGGCGAGTCACTTGTTCAGCTGAGCGATCAGTTCCACATGAACGTTAGTTACCCCGTTTTCACGGCACGTCTTCATTTCCCGGTATCAGGATTCAGTGTATCACCGTTTGAAGGAAATTCAAGCGAAAAGTTCGTCGAAGCACAAGATCGAAAAACAAACTGGTTTTTGTTTTCCCGTTTAAATGCAGCCCGGCCTCGTTCGCTTCTTGTCCGCGCGAATTGTTATGATTCACGATATTACGACGGCGGGCGGGCGGGCAGGCGTGCACACCGGCCCGAGAATTTATTGCGAATTATCCGGAGAAAGCTGTCGCGAAATTCGCGGCGCGATAGCGGCTGGAACTGCCGGTGGCCGGGCAAACTTGGCGCGTTCGGCCAAGTTTCGAAAATAGTTCGTTGCCGGACTCGACGCACGGCTCTACGCCGGCGTCTATTTGCGGTGGGTAAGTACCGGCGAGTCAGACCTGCCACTACTCGCCCCATAAACGTTCCTAGCCGATGATCATAATCGACGCTACATGCATATTAACCTAGTTTTGATAACCTGTTGAATAACCGATTACATATAATACTAAAAAATATTCGTGACACTGAAGTGTTATTGTATACATTTTAACTAGATGGTTTATTCGGATTATTATTTAGAATGTTTTAAGTTATATTTAAGGAATATACATAATTGAGGAATGTACATAATTATTTGACGTGACCTGAATATGATTTATTTTTAACATAACAGCTTTAATGGAGGAATATTGTATAATAGGGTTGTATAACAGAAAAAGTTGCAATTACTTAAATTGTTCGAGTTAATTTAAATGTCAATTCAAATATTAATCATTTAATAATGATCTAATATCAAATATTGAATTACCGTTCTAACAGTGCAATTCGATGTGACTACCTAATAAATCTTCTGAAATTAAATGGTACACTAGATTACACGGTAAACAGTGAATACAAATTCAATATATTATTCTATATTATAGTACCAGGAATGATCGAGGTACGATTTTATAGTTACCAATTTAAAATTCGTCGCTTGAATTCAGGAAAAAATATTTTATTGCTACATCAATCCTGATCAAAGATGATCCCAAATCGATGTCTTACCTTGTTCCACTTCAGCGTTTATGTGAATGGTCCTCAGCCTCAGCTCCTCATTCTCATAGATCATCCCCCTCGAGGACTTCCGGTCGAGTTTCCTATTCGGTTTCACGCTTACATCCCTGCGCCTCGTCCTCAGCATACCAGCCCCACCGGCACTCACCCCAGTGCCCGCCATCATAGTTCCTTTTTTTAATATAAACAACACTGTTCGATGAAATCACTTCATTCGTCAATTAAACGCACGAAACACTCTATTCGATGGACACAAGTCAACGACATTGTTCAGTGGACTCACTAGCGGTTCGTTTATGAATAAAATGTGGAAGATAAAAGATAGAAGAAGATAGTTAATGGAACATAAATGACCGTCTTCGCTTGAATTTTTATGCTATCCTGCCAGTTTTACGGTTCGCTATGAGCTCTTTGATGGAGTTCACAGCATCCTTTAATGGCCACGAGTACTTTAAGTTGTATTGCGCCATTATGAATCGACGTTAAACTACTGAACGAGAGGAATAATGTGTTCGAGTAGCACTTGGTCTTAGGAGCACCGTCGTCTTCATTTTATAGCGTCTAACTTTAACCTCTTACACTTGCTTTTTGTCGGTCTCTACTTTTAATTTTTTATAACGTTTCAATTAATTGTATAAATACATTCTGCGTAATATAGGCATTATCTAATTATATGAATATATCTACGTTTTATAATTATATAGATATATTCCATATAATCAAGACGATACGCTTTTTTCAATTATACAGATGTATTCTTTTTAATTTGGCCAACCTTGTTAGTCTACAACCTTTTCTTAATTATACAATCTTTCGTAAGTTCGGATAACCTTTTAAATCTTTGATCACGGTCCCGTTAGACTTGTTATTCTCCTTAAGTTTTCCCGACTTTTCGAGCTTCCTCGGTTTTTATAGACTCCTCCGATTTTCCCCGGAGTTTTCCCTGAAATTCCTGGTAGGATTCTTTCAAATATTTGATGGGTTTTGCTTCATGGTTTAATGGAGACCTTTCTTTTCCCACGATCAACGCGCAGATGTTACTTTATACTGTTACCCAAGTTTTTTTTGGACTTCGGGAAACGTTTAACTGTTCTTCAAATTTTCTTTAGTACTTTTTACTTTGCTCGGAGTTCCCTCCGGCGTCTCTTGCGACCTCGCCTGTTAAACTTCTTGTGACATTTTCTTTCTTTCTAGTTACTCGGTGTTTTTCTTGCCTTTCGAGTGTGTTAACAATCTCCTTCGGATTTTCGCTATTCTCACAGTAATATTTTATTCAACTCTGTATTCCGATCTTTTGTATCAATTTTCTAGAAAACTGTTTCTTTAGACTCGACTGACGTCTTTCATGTTTTAAGAATGTTTAAAACTCCTCTCCCTATTTTGAATTTTGAAACAGATTTCCTTTTTACTACAGAGTGAGGATAAATTAGTTCTCCCTTTAAAATCTCAGTGCTTCTGTTTTGTCGGAAGCAAAAAATAATTCACGTTACAATTTATTTTTCCTTTTCGCAAGATTCTCTTGCTTTTACCGATATCTCTTCTGTTATCCTTTGCTTTCAGGTTTTCAAGCTAGCTCCCAGGTTCTCAAATTGCTTCGGGGTTTCCTTATCTCTTTAAATGTTTCCGTTTAAGCCGGCGAGTTGAATTTTTCCGTACCTTGTTTTAGATTCATACTGTCTGTAACAGTAATTGTATCCTTCGTTCGCAAAATAGCTTCTTTCAAATCCTTACTCATACCATATGATCCTCGCAAGTTTTCCTCGTGTACCGGCGAATCTCCTCTTCGCTTCCAAATCTTCCTTCCACACTTGCCTTTCAAGCTTCTCATAGAAAACTTTCCTCCCCCTTCTCTCGGCTTTCTCTCAACCTCTAATCTCTGATCTCCTTTAAGCTTTCTTCATGCGCATCTCTTAAATTCCTCTCGTTGCACTTCTCTAAAATCCTTCCTGTTGCACTTCCGTTGAAATTCTCCCGTAGACTTTCTTTTAAAATCTGCCTCCTATAATTCCCCTGGAACCATTTTCTCAGAATCTTTAAATTCTCTTTCTAGAGATTATTTTCTCGTCTTCTCTAATATCCTTCTTCTTGTATTTCCGTTAAAATCTTCTTATATATTCTTATTAAAAACTTCTCACTCCTCTTTTCCTTCTTTCATAGCTTTTTAAAAATTCATTTTTTTCACATTTCTCTTCAAACTTGTTTATAATTCTTCTCTCGGACACGTCTTATACTCATGTTCAAATTTTCTCGCGAAGTTCCTCCTAACATTCTCTTTTTACAATTCTTTCGATAGAGCTCTTATTTCTTCCAGACTTCTCATGTTTTTCTGAAGTCCTTTTTTTCTTAAACCCTCCTCCTTATACTTCTTTCAGAACATTTAACATATTCCCAAAACCTTCATTCTGAATTCTTCGCACACTCCCTTCAAAATCTCAGCAACTCATCTTCCAAAATCCTGTTCACCTCTACCACTAAAGATCTCAGCAAATCATTTTCTAAAATCTTCTCTGCTCCTCTCAAAGCCTCCTCAGACATTTGTTCTGCAAAATCCTCTTCCCTCGGAATCTTCTACCTGCAATCTCTTCCTCGTCTCAACCCCTTCTCTCACGCCAAGAGACTCTAAAAAATCAAACAATCAGACACATGAAAAGACAAAGGGAACCCTCGAAAATATCACGCTAGTCGCAAATTTTCGCAGGACCGCGCTTCCGGTCTCGCCCGGAAGGATTTGCATTGGTCGTTCGTTCGTCAGTCGCGGCGCGATTCGCGTCCTCCCATTACTCACCGTTTATCAAACGTTCCTTTTGTTATTTCTTTCAATTTATTCGCGCTTCCACGGGAATTTATTCGATTGATCTTGAACCAACGGCAACGGGAACACTCTTCCGTCCCTTCGCGCCGCATCGACGTGTCAAGGATTTATTCGCGTCGCTGATCCGAATTTATCGCCGCCCGAATTTCCCGGCTCCTTGTCCGGCGAAACAATTCCGTCACGCCTTCCGCGGAATTTGAATTTCTCTTTTTGCCAGAGACGCGACGGTTCCACGGCGGACTTTTATCTCTTCTTCCGGTGAACGATCCCTTTCACGGTGTTGACGGAGGATCTTCCGGAAACTTGAACCGGAAACAGCGCTGGCACCTGGATCACCGGCCTCGTCGCAGGAATTTCATTTTATGTGTCGATGGACGCTGTCTCGCGCGGTTTTTCTTCGTTTCTCGGCGTTGAAATCTCTGGAAAAGTCAGGTTTTCCTTTTTATCGTGGATTTTTTAGTGACATTGGAAATTGGGGTGGGGCATGATAATTTTTCAATTGTTCGAGTGAGTAATGAATGTAGGAAATGCTGAAAGTTGAATGTAAACTGTAAACGTAATTTAATGTGAATTTTTCTATATTGAGATTCAGTGTTAATCTTGAATTTATTTAATGTATTTTATGTTTCTTGTAAGCGCTTAGTGTTTGATGTATTTGATTGACGCAGTTGAAATAGGGAAATTAGTTGATTGTTTGTAATTATTGATTGAAGTTTGATGTTTTTTATTGAAACTCTGAGAAATACTTTACTTTCTGTGATGCAGAAGAAAATTCCAAGTCGGTCGTCTTGTCTCTCGTTCGTAGAAGATCCCAGTAATTTCGCATCGATTATTTTGGCAATCGATCTTAATCCCAAACTCTTCCGAACTTATCACTTCATTCTTCATACGCTTTTCATCGATCCACACACGATACTGGACCTAAAAACAGAGAAAACGAAGCTAATAATACTTACAAACCTCCGTTACACTATAATACAAGCTTATAATACATTTCAACATTTTCACAGTAAGCTACAAATAATGATAACCCTACAAGTCTGTACACATTTATGAGAAACTTGAATCTACAAAATTGCACAAAATGCACACGACCCAGAAGGTTACACAAAATATCCAAAGCTTTCTGACAACATCCCCCAAAAAGCTATTCCCATCATAAATCCCACCTTCCAAAATCTAGAAACCTTAATTCACCTAAACATTTACAATCAAACAACGACCAGATAACCTCGACCACGACAGAACCAAAGAACTAATTTACGTTAAACGAATCTCTAGAAAGATTCCACTGATGCCAGCTTATGAGAAATGTCACGCGAAGTCGAAAGAAATTCGTGCACCGGCGGACAAGTAGATCCGCTAACTCGCGGGTGAAAAATCCAGGTCGACCGCAGGTTCATCGTCGTTTGAAGCGTTCCTCCCCTATCCCAAAGGATGGGCGATTAAAGCGTTCACCAGCGGGCCGATTTACCCTTGGAAAACGCGTCTCCCTACGCCCGCGTCTGCACGCGTCGCCGCCGGATACATGGAATAGGAAAACATTCTCGCCGGTGGAAAGCGCCGCCCGGTAGAACGTAAATCTATGCTTTGAAGAGCGTTTTTGGTCGTCTCTCTGACGCGCTTCCCCTCTCCCTCTTTCTCTCTCTCTCTCTCTTTCGAACCTACCCCTCTTGGTCCACGGTACACACGAAGTCTGGGAAGTGACATCAAAGAGGAACGGGCAGGCTCGAAGAGAGAGACTGCGATAGCGGGAGAGCATGAAAGCACCAGGTGCATATCGTCGTCGTTCGTTTGTGGGGTGCGTTACTTTTCGGGATCGGCGGCGGGGTGGTGGGTGGCTGCGAAACAGGAGGCAGACGCAGGATGAAAGGGAAAACGTGGGGAAAGATGGAAAGGCGGGTAGCTGAAGGAAGTTCGGGGAAGAAGGAGAGGTGCGATGAGTATGGTATGATTTTGTAGAAGGATATTTTGGACAGACTTTATGTTTTTATTTCATTTTGATTTCTGAGATACTCGGGAATTTATAATATTTGGTTCGGTGAGTAGAATGTTATTAGAGTCCTCTGCTTTGGCGATTATTGATGATAGGAAGATTGAAAGATTGGAACAGGCTAGGAGATTTTGAAGATAATCTTGAAGATTTTGAGAAGTTTTTGCTTTGATAAAGCTTTCGTTTGATAAGCACTTGTAGGTGGGAGTACATATATATTCTTCTCAGTGTAAAGCGAGAGTATTCGGAGATAACGGAATAACAACTAAGAGAATGATTAAGTTTCAGAAGTTTCTAGATTCTATTTTGTCGAGTAAAAACCGGAAAATAACAATTTACCATTGTTCAAAACTAATTACATCGTAATGAATTTTCTTGGCAGGAAGAACTAATATTCAAAGTAAATCCTGCCTCTCTTCGAATAATTTTTCACAGAATTTCACCGTAATCCCTTCACCAAATATCTTCGTCATTAAAGCACAAAAGTATACACAAACTTTCCCAACAAAGCGAATGCGAGATGAATCTTGATTCTGTGTTTATTGCAATATTTGTAGTGTTGAATGCGCAGCGAAATAACGAAGGAGAGTCAAACGAACGCTCAGCGCGATTTCAATATTTAAATTAAAGCCGCTTCTGGAGAAAAAAGGGTTCTATAGGGGTCCTATAGAAATGGTGCTGTAAAAGGAACGTCCTAGAGAAAGGCGAGTCAAAAGCCAAGAGATTAAGGATGAGAATCCTAGAAAAGGGGAGTCCGAAAGAGACACATGGAATACGAGGAACGGGACGAAATGAAGTGGGATTAAGTATCAAGGATCTTAAAACTGGATGCATTTGGGGTAGATGGAGAAGGGGAAGGGGTGGATCAGGAGGTAGGATGAAAACAGAGGGATGGTTGAACAAGCAAAAGGGCGACTCAAAATGCCAGATAACAAAGGTGGAGATCAGGAGGAGATTAAGAGGATCAAATCAGGGAAGTGAGAGATTCACGTAGAAAGACATGGTTACGGGGATTACAGACACAAAAGGCCAAGAAATAAAAATATTCAATAGGAGGGAAATTAGACGCTAGATTAGGGAAGGGAAACTAAGGAATATTCCATTAAATTTCCTGGTTTGTTACATAAACTCTGATTGTAAGTAATAATTTCTTATTGAAGACATATAATAGAATACTAAACGAGATTTCATTTGTAAGGGTTGTTTTATAAGCTTTTGTTCGCCAAATCTAAAAATCAATTAACGAATGTCAATAAATTCGTAAATATTAACTATATTTTAATTTATTTAATTTTTAAATGTTTTACATTAGTATTGTCTGTGCAAATAATTTGTTGATGTTTGGTGCATCGGCAAAGATATAAATAAAGTTTTTAATAATATGGCTTAGTGTTTGATTACTAGAAATATGCTAAAGTTGCAATATTAAATTTTTAATTTACACAGAAAAATATGAAGATTAATAGAAAATGGAGAAAGTATTTATTTATATATCTAAAGAATTATGGGAAACAATAAAGTGAGAAGCATAATCAACGAACACAGACAGAGGTTGCTTCTGTAAATTCATTAAGGCGGAAAATGCTTTCACAATGCACGGCCGTAATTGATTTACAAACAAGTCCCCTCCCAGCATTTTCGGGGCTTTGTAATTGTTTCGGATTTCTCCCGAATAACGTAATTAAGAGAAAGAACACGGTGTTTCGGGCGGTACTGCTCGTATCCCGTGATTACCGTGACTTCCACGAAAATGGTTAACTCTCGCAAAGAATATCATGTATATATACTATACACTCTCGAGGAAGTGTGTAAACTCGTTTTGCAGGTCGCGTCTGGCCAGAAACTGTATTACTCCACTGTGCTTGTGTTTTAAAACCCACCTGTTCAAGTTTCTCTGTATCCCAGTTAACATTATTTTAATTAATTTAATTTATCATTCTAACGATGGATTTTCCATCTTCTATTAAAATTATGATTATTTTTACATATTCTTTTATTCGACATTAAAATTCCAGAAAATATTTCTCAACAAATTTCAAACACAATCTTCAGCAAAATCTATTTCACAAAAATCTAAATAGTATTTGCAGAATATGTCTTTCAGAGTATCTAATATTATTTAAAAAATTTTTCAAAACAGCGCTCTTGAAGTATAAAGTAAAATTCCACAGAATATTAAAACCAAACGATGCATTTGAGAATTCTGGTTAAGAATTATCTAGCAATTTGCCAACTCTCGATTCCACCGTTTATAAATTACCAAACATTCAATCGAACAACATAAACCCACTATTTCACTAACACAACGAAATCGACCACGCAATTCTCCCTAAAACAAAAACGATACATCCACTCGAACCTCGAACTGAACAATTACCAAGAAAAATGAAGATCGATCGTTTTCTCTTGCATGCATTATGCAAAACGGAATGGACCATGTGTCATCCGGTATTAGCTCGCGTAAAATCCCAATACCGCTCGCTCGTTCCCTTTCCCCGCGTGTTTCCTTTCCCGCGCGCAGCCGAAGTCGCGTTATTATCAAAACAAACAGCGATGGAGGCGGGTGGCCGGCCGCGATACGGCCGACAAACGGTTCGAGTCGCAATCACGGTGAACTTTTAAGGGAGCACTCCTCCGGCCCGCCCCCGTTTTTTCAATTCACCGGCGAAGTTCCCGCAGCGAACGAAGTTTCCGCCGAAATGCCCGCGACTGTAATCACGTTCATTTGAACCTGGATGCATTTTAATGCCGCGGGGCCGTCGCAGAACTCGATTCGAAAGTTTCCGCCGCCTCCGACGCCGTGCCCTCGCGCTCCCGGGCAAAAACTTAGGACTCGTTAAGGGCTCCGTGCATTTCCATGACACTTATCAGAACTACGAGGACCTTCGAGGTAGGTACGGAATCTTTGGGGTGGCTGAATGATGGTAGGAAAAGGATTGACGATGATGTAGTTTATGTTGGTTCCGGTTTTTCTAATTGGAAAAGAATAGGATCTTCCTTTATTTGTTTGTTCAGCTTTTCTATTTTGAATTGTAGCTAGATGGGGTTTTTAATTAGAGGGTGAGGGATTAACGAAGATGCACTAGTTTGTTTTGCTGTTGTTTTTAATTGGAGATTGATAGAATTTTTGGTTAGCCTTTCTATTTAGCGTTTTTATTTTGAATTGTAGGAGGATAGAATTTCTAGTGAGAGGTGGATGATGGAGGGAAGAGGATTAACGAGGATGCACTAGTTTATCTCCCTTTTTCATGGAAAAAGAATAGGGCTTTTGTTAACTTCTTTTAAATTCATTGTTTTGGATTGTAGAAAGATAGATTTTTTAATGACAGATAGATAATGAAGAATTCACTAGTTTATGCTGGTTCCTGTTGTTTTTTAATTGACAGCAGAATAAGACTTCCGTTAGTTTTTTGTGTATCCATTCTATTTTGAATTATATAGGGGTAGGGTTTTTATTAAAAGGTGGATAATGGAGATAATGAACAGAGAAGGATTATTTACCTTTTGCATTTTGAATTAAAGGAAGAGAAAATGTTGTGTAAACTGTATGTTTCTTTTTTATCTTCAGATGCAGGATATTTAGGGATGTATCAAGTTTTATATTGTTTTGTGCAATCAATCTTCTCATTCGATGGAATTGAATCGCATAGAGTACATTGAAGTTTCTTAAGTAAGCGGTCTGTAGTCGCCACTGTTATAATTAGACTACGGATGTTTGAGCAAATTGAGACTTTATGAATCCATTTCGCCATAGCTGAAATGAAACAGATATTTGTTTGTGGATTGTGGATCTTTATGGACTTAGAGACTATAAAACGTTTTCGGGATAGAGTGGAATCAAGACTTTAATTGAATTTCGTTAATCCTGTCATGTATTGTTCATGCAAACGATATTTAACACATTTTAAGTTAAACATTGTTAAACTAC